GTGTGTAAGTTCCTGCTTCATTTTTGAAGCCATCCTCTAGAAAATGTTGTAAGCCTGAAGGGAAAACTCACGCTGTCATTTGATCTCACTGCTTCTCTTAAATCTAGGCCAAAAGCTAGAGAGAGAAATTGAAATCTGTACATACATAAATAAACACATTTTGTAGAAATGCAATAGGCAGCTAATAAGTTTAGATGCTGTCTCTGGTTTATAATATCAAGTTATTACTAAAGTTTGCACATATCCCTGAATAACTTATTTTCTTCTGCTCACAGAGTTCTACCAAGGTCAGGAGACATTTGAGGGAGGATAAGATGGGAGAAAGAAGACTTGCATTCTGGAAAAAATGAAAGAAACAGAAAATGGTATGAGGTAACAATATGCTTTCCTGAGTACATCAAATATAGACGTGTGGAAATGAAATCAATCAGTGTACGACTGCCTGTCCCCATTCACACTTCTGTATATGATTCCCACTTCCTCACATGTTGTAAATAGGGCTATGACTTTTTTAAAAAAATATACAAATATATACACACACATTATAAACATCAATAGACTTATGATCTACTACAGACACAAGTTTATATGCTTCCAAATATGACTGAAATCAGTGTTTCACAGAATCTGGACCAACTACATTTGTTTCCCAAAACAAATAAATAAAGGCAATATACGGTCCCTGCCGAATGATATTAGTCAACAAAGAATGCAAGAAATGGGACCAATTTCTAGAAAAGCCAAAGGTAAAAAAAAAACCTTTAATGTTCAGAATGGTTTTATCAAATATGAATAAATCAGGAATTCAACTAGTGTATCTCAGGGAAGAAATGCAGAAAGATCTCCAGGCAGGACACTCAAGAGAGAAATGCCTATAACAGCCTCCCATTTTACCACTGATTATGCAGCTTTGGGGAAGGAGCTGACCTTTAAATAATGTACAGAATATACATAGGCAACGTATCAAATTCAACAGATGATATCCTAATTTCAACATATGGCATTTTAATAGCCTTTTATTGAACAGTTTATAAAACTTTTACAGAATAGTAAAAACTTTGGATACTTTAAAAATGTTAATCCTATAATTAATAGTCACAGACATACTTTCTTTGCATGTGGAAGACAGTGATATTCAAACCTATCACTATGAACTTTACAGTAATAGACAACCATCTGCCTTCATGCTAAACCAGAAACATCAGGCTCTTTTTCCACTCATGTAGGGAGGGGTATCACAACGAAGCTGATAAAGCACCTTAGCCAATAGAGAGTTGTTTCATGGAGGAAAGAAGAAATACATTTCATATTAAAATCAAATTTTACTTATCCAAAAGGCCAAATAAAGTATATCTCAGAATACACTGTGTCATGTCTTTCTGGGTTATCCTGTACTGTATTCCCTATCTATACAGATTCTTGCGTTCTCTTGGATGACCTAGCACTCACTGCTGAGCAAAACATTAGATTTACACTGGCAGCAAATTTGCTATGTTTTATTTAAAAGGAAAACTTGTAGAAGCTACTCATTTTCAAACAACTGTGTTAGGTAATAAGAAAATTGAAAGTAGTGTTTAAATTAAGGCCTCAGATTGCTGTTTGTATACGTCAGCATAAAACCAGTGACCCTATCTCCAACCTGACTTTACTTCAGAGACACTTATTTATATCTTTCATTTTCTATTTTCTTAGAAAAACAGAGATAGATTTCCACTTTTTAACATTGCCATTTTGTATATTTCAGAGGTATCTAATTGTTTGGAGTAAATACACATGGGCACTATGTACTATTACCTATGCACATTATCACTAAGAACATCTGTTAAATCTGTTTGATTTGGCCCTGCTATAACCATAACGACACTTCTGACTTACACACTTTTCTCCAGGGGCAGAACAACCTGCTGTAGTTAGTTAAGGAGCAATATAATAGCAAAGTGCAATATTGCATATAATACAATGCTATCAAGTCGAACGACATAACTTGAGACAATGGCATTCACTTGCTTTGATACCAGAAGGTTTCACATGCTGTCAGGAAGGTACAGTTGTTATTAGGAAACCAAGTAACACCTTAAGCTACACACACACACAAAAGCACACATTTGAATGAAGACACCTACAAATATTTTTGTACGTATGATACTACTGTACGCCATGCTGACTGTTAATGTAGCAGTTGAGTACATGATATATTTTCTTGCTCGCTAGCACAAAAAGGGAAATGTAATTAATAGTAGATAAGCAAGTATTATTGAAATTTATGGGAGAACATTATAGCATGATAAGAAGAGCTAGTTCATGAGAAACTCTCTGAGGAGTTGAGAGACAAATTCTGTGACTGAAACAAAGTTTCTGGATTCCATACACGATAATTTACTTTCTCTCTTGCAGGGTCTAGCAAACAATTATAAAATGATTCTATTCTTAATATTATTCCCATACTTCTTTAAGAACTGGACCCTGATTGTCAGAGAATTGTAATTCTCTGGTGGACAGTTCCTGGTCTCATTGCACTAAATTAATAGTAGAAACTTTAAGATTAAACAGTTACTACATAGAGCATAAATCAAATCTGAACCTGATTTACAGAAACATACAGCATATTGCATATATTCTGGGTTGCAGTTGCTGCAATGATCTGCCAATAAACTTGTTGCACACAGCAGTCCTGGCTGAGTGGGAGTTCTGCACATTAAACCCTAAGCTCATCAGTGAGGTAGCCTAGTGTAAAAAAAGAAGCTTGTAAAGACAGGAACTCCTTAGTTGATCTTCCCCATACCAAAGGAAGACAAGATAAATGTTCTTTTTCCAGGACCAGAACTATTAATATAGAGCCTATGCAGAAAATGAATCACCATTAAATCTCACCATCGAGTATGTCTGCAAGTCTCAGCAATGCAAATGGTATCTCTTCTAAATTTAGAACAAAGGAAAAGACATATCTCATGAAAACTAGACACCCCAACCATTTCAACGATGAAAAGGTTATACAAGTATGGTTTTATTCTCAAAAGTAGCTACCTGTTTAGGGTTTTTTTAAAGCTCATAGTCTGATTTTACCGAATGAGACAGTTACCAGTGTATATAAATAGGATGGTTCAGTTCTAATAACCAGAGATGGGGTTACAAATGTCACTTACTGCAACAGTCCTCTGCTTCTACTTCGTTTGCCTAGTAGTCATAGTTCAGTCATGTTTTCACACTTGATTTTTTAATCAGAGTCACAGAAGGAGAGAGAGGGAGAATACTTCATTTACCCAGTAAGATAAGTATGTGAAATTATCTTGAAAATGTCATCAGAAGAGAGTCAATTTATCCCACTATATGCACTCAACAGGCCTGTACTGATTAACTTTCAAGGCTGAAAATGGCTTTGGATGTATTTTTGAATGAACAGCTTAAAAATAGTTGTTTTAGTCAATGGGTCTGTCGTGAAATGAGGCAAGTACTCAGCCCAAATAATATGATGCAGACATGGAACATGTGAGTTTTCATTAAAAATCCCAGTGAGTTGAAAAATCCTGGAGACGAACCACTTGGAAGGTAGGACTGAATCTGAATAAAGCACCAGTCAAACCCATACTAGTGCAATCCAGAAAATCCATCATCTAAATTGAGTGGTTGTCCAACATGCATGCTGATATGGCCCTATTACTATCAAACTCCTCTTTAAACTTAATATTGTTCATTCCCTGAAGAAAAAAACAAACCCTGTTTCCATCCAAAATACAGCAGATGATGCTGGTACACAGGATGCCAACTGCATTCTTTAGAACACAGAGGGGAATTCTAGCACTTCAAATGTATGTAAACAAACAAAACACTTACTTTAAAATGTTTCTAAACTGCCACTAAATCTGTTATCTTTGGAGGAAACACTATTTTTTTTTTGGTCCATTATTTCATGGTGCAGTTTGCACAGCTGCAATGTATTGAAAAAAAGTGCAAAGAATATGTCCAGATATGAAATGTATAAAATACATTCCCAGAATTCATCTTCAACACTGAGAATTTGTAAATATACGCATATGACTTAATTTATCATAAACTTAGGAAAGGTTGAGAGGTAAAAAATTCTCTGATATCTACGGTAACACACACTGCAAGTATTTTTTTTTTTGAGCTTAATTATTATTGATTGTTTTTAGCCACCTGCTTTAAGCCAGCAATACAAAGTGAGATTAGCTCTGGTACACTGAAAATCTGGCAAGGGCATTTTTAGCCCTTGTTGCCTGTATTCCATACCTTGGGAAATTCATTAGGAGACTATTACAATTATATAATGATAACTTGGAGATTTTTCTTCTTCTCGAGGACACCAGTAATGCCCTTTAAGACTAATGAGAATTCCCTACTGCTTTTAAATTCAGCTATAAAATCTATCATGAAGAAGAACTTTCTGAAAAGCAATTATGCAAAATAAGTAGGATTACAAAACAGAAAACCTGTCAGTTGATCACTTTGTCTGACAGCCTTGATACTTTTTACAAAGAATCCAAAATTACTTAAAGGTTTCATTTTTACTTAAGTTCTAATTTAATTATGTTCTTTTGTCTAATCTGTGTATTGTAAGCACCAGTAATACAATAAAAATATAAATGAACTGCAGAATAAAAAAACAACTTTTCAACAAAAGAGCAGCAGCACAAGCAAAAAAAAACCCTATATGTAGAAACTGAAAACATATTTTTGAGGAAATCTCTTCCTTAGTTTCATTTTTTATGTTACTTTTTTCTCGCTTCCAAAAATATTATGCTGCACAACATGCATTAATATTGTGGTATTCCATAATATTTTTTATTGTCAAGCCTGCAACTCTCACTAATGTACCTGATTCCAGGCACTAATGAATTCCCAAGAACTTCACTCCTGAATTCCCAAGAATAACTGAGAGGGGAAGCAGAGAAAAATTACCTCTCATTACCTCTTCCCCTTTCCCTCCTGCAGAGCACAAGACCTGCATTTCACCGAGTAGGAGAGGAATGAAGCCCGGCTACCTTTCTCGCAGAACCGGCCAGTGAAGTGTAACGGGCAGTCGCACCGGAACGACCTGGCCCCCGTAGGCAGGTAGGCAGGATGACAAGTCCCTCCATTATGGCACAAACCCTCCTGGCACGCAGATGGCAACTCGGGAGAAATCACGGAGGGCACCGCAGGCTCAGGCCATTCAGATGTATCCGCAGCAGCCGTAGGGAAAAGACAGATGTGAAGGTGCAGGAATCCTGAAAGGACAGAAACAAGATATCAAAGCAAAAAAACAAAACAAAACAAAACAAAAAACTCCTAATTTTTGCATTAAATTTCACCTTTTTATTGAAAAATATTAAGACTTTGTTTTTAGAAATTCATATTCCATTGAAGGAAATATGAGGACATTAGTAATTTCCAAATAAAGTCCTCATCCCGAAATTTACCAAACAGATAATGAAAATGCAGTTGCTCATTCCTTCTCCTAAGGGATGTCTCCTAAGGCATAAATGAAAGTATTTTCCTCTGTGAGGGAGAGAAAAATAACCTACATGCATACGGTACAATTTGTACATGCTCTTATAATTCCTTTTAGGGGCATATCAGCAATAGAGAGACAAGTAAACACGGGCTCTGTTATTAGGTATTTTATTGCTTGAAGGTACCAAATCTTGTAAGGCCATTCTAGAAGACACACCTCCCAGTGTATAACTCACAAATAATATTAAGTAAATTAACAAATAATATTAAGTAAAGTAATATTTTAAAAAGCTATAAGTAATATGATCTCCTGCTGATCCTGCTTTCTCCTCCTGGAGGAGGTAGGAAAACAGATTAAGCAGTGCCAGTACAGCAGAAATCAAATTGTCAGCATGCAGAGGAAAGTATGTTGTGAAGCAGGCAGGAAGGAAAAGAAGTTGGACAGAGATAATTCAGGAGAAAGCAAATATTGGAAGTAACCCAGAGAAACAGGGCACTAATTGGGAAAGAAGCAGAATTGTGGAAAAGGAAACAAGGGCTCTGGGCCTTAGAAACAAGCTTAGAGGAAATATCTGCCTTGGTGAAGATGCAGAATAAGGGAGAGTCACTGCTGCCAACAGAAGGGAGAGCAGATGAGAAAAAAGAGCTGATTGGGAAGCAAGATCTTCAAGAGTCTTCAAATTCCGTAAATACTGAAAGAACTGTTAGGTGATAAAAACCTCATCTCCACAGCAAGGCAGGGGAACCACTGCTGCCCTGGCTACTCCCAGCCGCATCACAGGAGAGTGCTCAGCGTGTCCAGGGCTCATCTAAACCAGCACAGACACGTGCAGCACAGGTCTGAACCCAAATTACCTCCTCACGGAAGGGATCTCCTGGCCAGATCCTCCCAGGACTGTCCCAGGAGTGCATCAGCCCCGTGGTCGAGGTATGAGCAAGATGAGTCAATGGGAGTGGCTCTTCAAACAAAGCACCTTTTTGATTAATGGCGGGGCTCGCTGCCTTAGGGTATGAAACACATTGTGGGATGCAAGGGAAGAGCATCTGAGGAGCCAAAGGCAGAAAAAGGGAGTGATCTAGGTGACTTAGGAGGAACAAATACGTGATAATAGAAGGATATGGGGACAAAAACGGGTCGATCGTGTGCAAACAGGCGGTTGTTCTGCGCACTTGTCTGCCCATGCCCTGCGCCTGAGCAGCGTAGTCTCTCCTGTCCCCTTGTTAAATTCCTTTCTGCTTTCCTGGGCAAGGGACTCTGCGTGTGCACGTGAAGGTCTGCGCATCAGCAAAGGGAGGGAGGCAGCAGGACACGTGGGCTGGGTGTCTCCAGTGCCGCAATGGGAGCGCGTGCGGCGGCCATCTCTAGTAAACACCCAGCCGGGCCAGTGGGGGCCGAGCTGAAGCGCGCGGGGAGCCCAGGTGCGTGTGGCGCCCCACAGGTGAGAGCATGGCGGCCCCCGGCTACCGCCCCCTGCTCCTTCCAGCAGCCAACTGCCTAGGAGGCCACGAGGGCTGGGGCGGCCTGCGAGACCCCTTGGTGTGTGTTCACGTCGTGTGTGCGAGGGCTCTGCACCTGCGGCTGGAGCAGGACTGCGGACCTCAGGGGCTCCTGTGTCCAGGTGGCAGCAGTGGGAAAACCAGGGATGGAGGGACCAGCTCTGGGATGGACTGAGTGTCCAAGCCCAGCTGGAGGGGTCCACATTTTACATGTGTGTTGGCACAGGTTCTCCCTGGGAATACTTTCTCAGCAGTGTTGCTGGTTGGACCTGGGGACATGGCATTGTGGCAGTCTCGTCCCCTCAGGGACTGGGTTCAGCCTCCTTTCCTGACAAGAAGCTCCTCTGTTCTTCTTCCAGGAGACAGAAGTTATTACCTGTTATAACTGTGCAGTAGAAGTTAAAAAATGAGTTCTACTTGTGCTTTGTGCTATTCCTGGGAACTCATTTAAGCAAAGAAATCTGAATTCCAAGAAGGCCAATCAGGAATAATTTTGTTATTCACACAGAATCATAGATGGCTGAAGCTGGAAGGGATCTCTGGAGATCATCTAGTTCAATCCCTCTGCTCTAGCAGGGACATGTAGAGCACATTGCGACATCATTATTATTACTTATTTTTTTTGCTATTTAAAAATAATATGATACGAAATTGAAATTAAATCTAATTTTAAAATAATAATGAACCACTCTTCCTTCTTCAGAAGTTATGCATGCAGAGAAGTACAATTGCATAAAGTTAAAATTCTTTTTCTTCTTGCCCATAAAAATATATCTTCCATATAATATTGTAATAACACAAGTTCACACCAAGTATAAACAACATTCTGTACAAAGTGTGAGGAATATACATTATTGAAACTAAAAATGACTTTGTGAATCTTTAAGCCAAAAATAAAGGACTTAACCAATATTTTTCTTGGATATACTTCCCTTTGAACTGACCTTATATGCTCAAGGACTGCATCACTAACTATCTCTATTTTCTACCTGCATTTTTATGAAGATCCAGAAGGGTGTAAATCTACATCTAAGTTTACTCAAGTTACATTTGGTACACACAACCATTCATCAGAACCAAAGTTCCTTCTTATTAAAAATCTTTTCCAGCGTCTCAATCCAACAATTCATCAATGAAGCCAGAACAGTGTGAAAGGTCCTAAATCCTCATAAAGTTTGTAGGATTTGTACATGGTGGAGTCAGTACCTTAGAGAACCCAGAAACTAATGGAATTTAATTCAAAGAAACAGGTTAAGGACTGTTGGAAAAAAAAAAAAAAAGAAAGGAAATGAAAAGGCTTTAAAATCACAAATTACATGTTTAAGACATTAGCAGAAAACAGAGAAATAACTAAAACTAGTCAATTTGTCCAAAAGGTATAAGAGAATGTGTTAAGCCAAATCACAACTTATATGATGCTCACAAATCACTTTATGAAGCTTAAATGAGGCTGCCGACAAAAAAATTCATGGAGCTTAAACAAAGTTACAGAGGTCATAGTCATAATCAAATCTCTATTGCTTTGTCTTATTTTCATCCCTTACACAGATGCTGTAAACAGGAACATAAGAGTCCCAAAGACATTTAGATAGAAATTTTTATTTAGACATCCAGATGTTTTTAGATCTGATTGTAGTTTTTTTAAGGATTTTTTTTACTTTACATTCTATACTTGGAAAATGTACAGGACTTAAAAATTTCAGCTCTTTCCCACAGTTTGTATTAAGTACTATCAAAATAAAAACATCAGATAATTTTATGTTGGAGGCTTGGGACAGGAGTTCTCCATTAAAGACACACAGAATGAAAAAAGAAATAATGTGTACAGAAATATAGAGCTTGCCTAAATAGATACATCATCCGAAACATAAGACAGCCAAACCACACACATAATGTAAACATGGGTCAGAAACGAGGATATAGAGATTTCGAGACACTTACAAGCCATACACTTTATATGAGATAAAAGCATCCAAAAAGATACTTTCCTCTTGGATAATAAGAAGAAAACAAGAAGAATAACAAGAAGACTGAAAATAAAATCCTAAAAGTTTTTGGAGGCTGAGGGTTTGCTGGTAAGAGGCTTGGAATTCTAAGAAAAAAAGTTACTAGTTCTATTGAATAAAAATGCAGCAAAGAAATTTCCTTGCTTTTAACCATTCCCTTCTCCTAAAGTAAATAACAAGCACGAAGCTAATACCATTAAGCATTGCATTCGGAGCTGCAGGAAAAGTGTGCCAGTAAGTATGCTATCTTCTACCAGGCTAACACAGTAAATCAAAAATGCTTAGTCACCTCTTGCTGAGATTACAACCTCAGATTAAATAAAAACACATCAAAAAAATCCTTTTTTTTTCCCCAAGCATAACCCAAATGTTTGAGAAACTGTTAGCTGTCTTATAGTAAGTACACATATAAAATCAGATATCCACAAGAGAAAACTATTGGCAGCGAGTTGGAATGTTGGCTTGATTTTTCTCTTTTCTCACAAAGAAGAAAAAAAAAAAAAAGAACTTGGGAAAGAACTGAAGAATTGGAGCACCAACCAACTTCTCATTCTCACTACTAGCTTCTCCTCTTACTAGACCCAGTCGCTGACCACTGCAAAATCTACTCCTTGGGACCCTTGGCTCTGTCAGAGATGGAATATTGAACTAGAGGGATAACATGCCTACATTTGGCAAGCCTTGTGCTCTTAGGTCCTCTGTAACCAGTGATTTCCAGGTGTGGAAGTTAAACTTCCCCTTCTGACTTGAAGGTACTGTTTTTTTCAGACAGTATCATGAGAGCATGTATCAACTGGGTTTTTACAAGCACAAGTAGTTGCAGCTCAAGTGTCATTTTTTGGTTTACATTGTTTGTTTGTTTAAGAAGTAAACAGAGGCTTCTTGGCAGGTTGGTTCCTTCCAGGTTCGTTTGCTGCCCTTCCTGGTGGTCTCAGCCTTCGCGGTGCTGTTCTGCTCGCTTTGCTTCTCGATGGTGCCTGACGGTGTCTGTGCCAGCGCTGCTTCCAGGCACCCTACGGCTCCCTCTCCGACCGTGAAAGCAGGAAAGCCTGAGCCCAGGCTCGGTGCTGGGCAAACATCTGTGGCTGCACTCCCACTCCTTTCAAACTGCTATGAATAAGTAACGACCTCGACTACACACAGTTTAACTAAAACATGTATTTGAATAAAGAATCAGGAAGTGTTTAAGCTAATCTAGTAACTGAGCTGTTACACGAAGTTTTAACAATTTGATAGAAATGAATCCAGCAAAACCCAATTCACTGATTATCTCTAGCAAGGCTTCAGTTTTTTTCTTTTAAGCTTCCCAACCTGCCAGCACATCTGAGATCAATACCTCACACAACAGTCTTGTTACCTGCTGCAAGTACCAGCCTGTTGCTCTTAATTTTAAGAGGAGCTCAGAACAGCTGATTTGAGGCCTGTAACCTTGTGTTTCATAGCTGAATACATGTAAATCTGAAGTGCTTGTCAACATACAGATGTTAGTATAATTTGAAATCTTGTTTATTTTGTATGTCATTCTTTACCACTTGAGGATATAAACTGAGTGGGAGGAAGACAGCATTTGGGATCATTCTCAATGTTGTGCTGTAAAATCAAAAGCATGTGTAGTCTCACCAGCTGTTCTTCCTTCTTCCCTATGCTCTCATGCTTTCTTCAAAAAAACAAAAAATTAGTAAAGAACATGGAATTAATATTGGTTGGAGTTGAAAAAGCTTTTAAAAAATCAGCTTTCTTAGATTGCTTTGCTGCAACAGTTGCCATCTCCACTGACTCCTCTGGAGAAAAACAAGCATCTCATATTTGAACGGAGAAAGCAGGTTAACTTGCAAAACAGTTGAGGTCAATAATAGTGGTAGTTTCTGAATTTTCCTGAATTCCCAGATTAGCAACTAAAGCAAGGGAATAAGGCCCTCCTGTATTTTGTTACATCACTACTGCAGGAGATGACTATATCAGAAACATTTGTAGAGGCTTAAAAATTGTGATCATGTAAAGTTTCCTTAAGAAAAAGTCTCAAAACAAATGGTATAAAAGTAACCAAGAGAAATTAGAAGGTTTAGAGGAAATAAAAGAGGTTGGAATAAAAGTGGTGATTTTAGGGTGGGTTTATAAGTACATCAATTCCTCATTTTCGTCATACTCTGTATTTTAGTCCCTCTGTTTCTTGTACAATTTCAACTTTATATAAATGATCAATCACACTTCTGTTAAGCTTGTCTATGGTATGTGCTTTCTGTTGCTGCCTGCTATATTAGTGATCATGATTCATTTCCAAGAACCCTGAGACCAATCACAACGTCAAAACAGCACCAACTGGGAAAATACTACTTCATGTTGTAAACACACAGATCTCGGATCTTAAAATTTAAAAAAGAACAAAATGTCTCATACTAAATAATCATATCCCAAATTTGGTGTTATCATTATTAGAAAACTAAAAATTATTTACTTTATCTCAAACACATGCTGCTGTGGCTGGTATTGTGTGAGTTATTTTACTGATTATCTATCAGATATTAAATGACACAAAAAGTGGGACCTGGAAAGGGATTAGAAATCATAGATGTTTCTAACCAGACTCATATGTATTCACCAGACTATACTTCCTATGAGAAAAACTGAAGGGGGGAAAAAAAAGGCAAAATATCAAAGCCTGCTATTCTCTCCAATATGAATTCACCTACCAAGAGAGAATTGTAGTTGAAGTCCATCACAGAATTAAGCCACTTACTCCTTAGGAAAGTCACGTGGTGGGCTAATATGGAAATATGACATGATTTTGCCCTTCCCAGCATGAGGCCACATGCTGGGCACTGCCATGGCCATGCAGGCAGGTTGAGGGAGATGATCCTTCCCCTCCGCTCAGCCCTGGTGAGGCCACATCCAGAGTGCTGACTCCAGCGCTGGGCTCCCCAGTGTGAGACGTGACAGGTTTATGTT